GGAAGGCAGGGGGCGCTAAAGGCACATAAGAGTGAGGACAATCTGTGCCTGAAGTACCTGAAACCCACAGCTGGGACCCTGAAAGAAACTGTAAGTTTCTGTGCTTTTTCGTAAGTTACACTTGGTACTGCTAACATGGAGAGAAGTTTAAATTGCACACTGTTTAATGGAGTTTGGGACTGAGGATTATGGATTTGAGTTTTGGATATAAGAAAAAATAACCCAAAGGAAGAATAAGTTTAAGTTCACAAAAAGTAATGTTAAGTAATGAAATATAAGTTAGAAAAAAGGACAAGTGGTAGCACCTAATGGTTCAATGAAAGTAGCACGGTTGCATTATAGTACACCAATGATGATCACAAAAGTATTTCAATAAATAAAAGTTATTTTGCTTTCAAATACTAAAAACTTGACAATGACAAGCATGTAAGAAGTTGGGGTCATCACTCCCTCCTGACAAGTGTCCAACAAACTGAAAAACCAACAGCTCTTCTTAGAATCATCAGAGACGTGATGTCATAGGGCAAACTGCTGCCCTCAAAATCAGAAACTAGCAGGTGGATACAGAGAGAGCCGACTTCCCAGAACAGAAACTCACAAGCAGACACCTCTGTGGGGAGCAGGACCCAGCAGGAAATCTGAGCTGCAGCTGACAAACCGAAGGCTGCCCATGGGCTGGAGGGCCACTTCTCGCTTCTTTGAGGTTTACCTCAAGAAGTTTGACCAGGTTCTCCCAAGGACTCTCAGCAGGGGGAGGGGGAAAGTAACGATTTTAAAAGACCCAGAGCATTTTGTTTTTCTTAACACAGCCTGCCCTCCAGAGAAAGTATTTCACAAGAGCCTAAACTATTGGGGTTTTATCAGAGCCTGTCCAATGGGAGAGGAAGAAAACGCCCAACTCCAGCGGGCTCTAGCAATCCCGTCCTACTGAAGGGGGAGTGGGGACTGAGAAGCATTTGTGAAGCTCAGTCCAGAGGCAGGAGCTGCTGAAGAGCACCGTCCTGATCCCTGCAGTGTAGAGGGGCCCCTCCCCCCACCACACCACCACATCACTACGAGGTATTTGCTGCAGTTCATTTACCCAGGACACCACGTCCCACTACCCAGAACAAAAAGGCAAACAACATAATTTGAGGAGACAGAACAAGTATAAACCAGATATGGCAAGGATGTTGGAATATAAGACAGGGAATTTATAACAACTATGATTGATAATTTAAGGGCTCTGGCTACACGGTGTGGAAGAACAGACAATGTAAACAGAGGAGTGGAGCCCTGGCTGGGTGTCTCGGTTGGAGCATCCTCCTGTATACCACAGGTTGTGGGTTCGAATTTCAGTCAGGGCACATATCTATTGGGTTGGCCAAAACATCTGTTACATTTTTTTCTGTTGAATAAAAGACACGTTTTTCATTTTCACCAGTAACTTTACTATGTCAGCTATCTCTTGCTTTGACTTCTAGTGGGTGGAGGCCAGGGGTGCTGCTAAACATGTTCCAATGCATAAGAGTCCCACAACAAAAAATAATTTGGCCAAAACAACAACAGTACCATAAAACTTTGCAAACCACTTTTGACATGTTTGATCAGTCACAGCACCTTCTCCGTTCACTGCACACATCTTTTGTGTGTGTGTGTGTGTTTCAGTTGCATTTTTACTTTCCTTGAAATAGTAAAGCATAACTGCCTAAAATGCTGCATTTCTTCTTCCATCTTCAGTATTAAAATGGCTGCACAAAAATTCACCAATTTTGGTTAAGTTTTCTTTAATGTGCGCTGATATGACAGCTGTCACAATACAACCTAACAAAATTATTTTGAATGAAGTTAAAGACAACTAAGGGCTGTTGTACAGAAAAAAACAATAGGTCGCAGGTTTGATCCCTGGTCAGGGTGCTTACCCCAGGCAACCCATCCATGTTTATCTCTCACATCAATGGTTTTCTCTCCCTCTCTCTCTAAACTCAATAAACATATCCTCTGGTGAGGAGTTAAACATAAGAAAAAAGAGCAGTGGAAACTCTCAAAAAGAATAAAAAAAATAAATGCTAGAGATAAAAGTACTGCAACTAAAATGAAAAATGCCTTTGATGGGCTTCTTAGTAGACTAGATACAGCTGAGGAAAGAATCTCTTAACTTGAGGATGCCATTAGCAATTTCCAAAATGGAAATAAAGTAGAAAAAAAGGAACAAAATACCCAAGAACTTGGAGATAACTACAAAAAGTTTAACGTGTATGTACATGGGAATATCAGAAGAAAAGTAGAATAAATACGGGCTGAGCTGTGGGAGCCTCAATCACTGCCACCATCCTGAGTACATTTCACTGTGGAATTCCCACGTGAAATGTACTTAATGTCTTCTATCAGTTTAATTTCCAGGACCCTCGGCTGGAGACCCTAGTCGGGTAGAAGGAAAAGGTATTTTCGCCCCCTACAGTCTGATTAAAATCGATTGTTTATTGGGACGATACAGGAAAACACACACAGAAAAGCGCTTCTGAGCGCTTTCTATACTCCCGCCAAAATCAGCAGCCAGCTGCGGAAAATCAGCTGGGAATGGACTTCTACAAACTAAACCTGAACTGGGTGTGTCGCCAATGTTCTGCCTCGGACTGGCGCGGGCGCCCCCCTCCCCGCCCCGTGGGGTCCAGCCTGCGGGATCCTGGGCGGCAGGCGAGCAGGACTCCCTGCAGATAGCGCTGCTGTTTGCACGTGGGCCGCGCGAGTGCCCTGCTGCTGATCGCACCCTCCACTTGCGCCTACGTAGAATCCACTAGTCGGGAGGGTGTACCCTGTAAGAGCCTGTCAGTGAGCGGCCCGAAAAACAAAGGCGAGGAGAAGAGAGCCCAGTTTCCGGAGGGTCCGGCCTAATCAGGGCTGCGCAAGGTCAGGCCTCGGGAGCGCTGCATTTTGGGCCTGTGACGGGAAACGTGGGAAGCCGTTGGAGTGGGGTCCCTCCTAAACCACGCCCGCGCCTCCCGTGTTTTCGGGCCCGCGTGGTCCGGCCTCACTGGCCGCCGTGGAGCCCGAGTCCAGGGGAAGGGGCGGGGTGGGGCGGAGCGGCTTCCGCAGTGGCGGTCCCGGTCACCTTCCAAGCGGACCACAATTCCCACAAGGCCCCGCGCTCGGGGGCGTGGTCCCGCCGTCAGGGCGGGGCCTGGCGCGGGGCTGGGCCATCCTGGAACGCCCGCGTTTTGTCAGCGTTAGGCTGGTGTCTGGCCTCTGACCCTGAACCCCTCGCCGCCGGGGGTGTGCCCAAGTGTCAGTTGGGGAGGCGCAGGCTGGGACTGAGTTATACGGAGGCTGCTGGTGGTTGTGGGTTTTCCGGGGAGCCTGTCTGAGGCCCAGGAAATTCCAGGTGCTTGTAGGGGAGTCCCGGCCTGGGGAGACTGGGCCCAGACCTGCGCACACTAGCAGGCGGAGGCCAACAGTCACTGGGAAGAGCCCACTGCTAGGTGCTTTAATTTGGCGGAGAGGAGCAGGGAACACAGCAGTCACATGAATGGACATCTGTGGACTGGGCCGGAACGCGTAGCTCTGTCCCCCATCATTCTTTACCTGGCATTCGTAGCTTGGATCGCTTTGTGCCTTGGATGACCTTATGGGGGAAACCTTGGCTCCCGTTCCGGCCCTCTGGTCTTGTTTTCAGCAGTGTCCTCTCTGCTACCCTGGCCCATCTGTGCAAGGTTTCTTTTTTATGTCAATGGCTGTTTGTATTTCCAAGATCTCTGGTCAATATTTTTCATAACTGCCTTCAGTGCATGATGTGATGTTCTTGCTTATCCCTATGATTATTTTAATTATACTGATTTTAATGTCCTGATTATTTTCTAAAAGTTCTCTCAGGTGCAAATTTTCTCTTACAAGAAAAAGGAAAGCCCAGGCTGGTGTGGCTCGGTGGGTTCAATGCTGGCCTGCGAACCGTAGGGTCACGGGTTCATTTCCCAGCCAGTGCACATGCCTGGGTTGCAGGCCAGGTCCCCAGTAGGGTGTACTCGAGAGGGAACCACACATTGATGTTTCTTTCCCCCTTTCTCCCTCCCTTCCTCTCTGTCTAAAAATAAATAAAATCTTTTTTAAAAAGAAAGGAAAAATATATTAGAGCTGGGTTTTTTTTCATTGTTTAGTTTTCCTGTAATGTTTGTGATTACTGGTTTATGTCTCAATCATTGTTTTTGTACCTGAGATTCCCTGTTTTTTTACTCTCTTTGCAGGAAGAGGTGGGGAAGGGGGATGAGCATGGTGCTGCCGGGGTCTTGTCTTTTTTCTAATGAAAGTGGAAAGAGTGAAGATTTGTAGCCTAGTGGTCTCCTGGGGGCACCCCCATCACTCCTGAGCCTGGTAATCATTGTTTCCATAACCCGAGCTCCCATGCTGTGCACTCACAGCTGAGGCAGAGGTCCCATTTTCTGTCTCCTGAGAAGTTAATGTTTTTGTGAACCTTCCTGTTCTACTAGCTCAGCCAGTGACTCTTTCGGTTTCCCCTGCCCCCCGCCAGGTGTTCAGCCCCCTTTCCACATGTACAAGTGGAGATGGTAGGAAAGAGTAGCCAGAAGAAGCTTCCCAAATTTTGTTTAAATAATTTTTTCATTACTTAAAAGGGAACCGCACATTTCACCCCAACTCTCAAAGATGAATGAAAAAATTACCAGGAATAACTTTGCCACAGAAATAGCAAAAGACCCATTCTTTGTATTGCATATAAATAAGTTGTCAAAATTAACATTATGTTAAACAAGGAATTGCTGGAGGCAATCATTGATGTTTGTACACTTTATATCTTGGTAGAGCGAGGCACTGTGGAATTATGTTGGTCATTCATATCCTATGTGATAACTCTGTCATAGTTCTATTAAGGAAATGTCATCCATTAAAAAAAAGACTTGGCTGGTGTGGCTCAACGGATTGGGTGCTGGCCTGCAAACTAAAGGGTCATCAGTTCTATTCCCAGTCAGGGCACATGCCTGGTTTGCAGGCCAGGTCCCCACTGGGGGACACGTGAGAGGCAACCCCACATTAATGTTTCCATCTCTCTCTCCCTTCCCCTCTCTAAAAATAAATAAATAAAATACTTAAAAAAAGAAAGATAAAACTGGAACACTGATCATATGCAATTATTAGGTTAACTCCTATCTGTGCCTCGAATCCTTGTTGTTAATGGGCATTTTAAATTTGAATATTCACTTTTTTAATTAATACATTTGAGGGTCTATTTTTTTTCAGCATTTACTTCATTGACAGCTGTGATTCTCAACATTTTTTGGGTACAACAATAAGGATTTTGTTTAGTTTTAGGCAAAACAAATGATTAAATGATAGCAGCATATAAAGGCTTCAGCATACCGAGGCTGGCATCTGCACTCCCGCCCAGAGTGACGTCACAGTCCGGTGGAACCGTGCGCAAAGGCGTAGCAGGCGCCTCATCCTCACACTGGATGCCTGTGCGTTTGTTCTCCTGGCAGTAGGCAGATACCTAGGTCAGGAAGTCCTGCCAGACTCAGCTCAGTGCAGTGTAGAGCAGACTTCATCCATTCTCAGATTTAATTCTTTTGTGGTTTCCATTTTCCCCATCTCTTTCAACAGGTAAGAAAACCCTGCCCAGCAAAATTTGGGTTTTTGACCAATTCATAAAAGATACAATAAATATATTAATAGCTAAGTAATTAGCTGTTACTAATTAGTATTAGTAATACTAATGGCTAGAAATACATAATTTCAAACATTGATGGAGAGGTTCATTTAGCTCAGACTTTGCTGTGGAACTTTTTTTTCCAGAGCCCAGCAGTGAAGTGAGAGCAGAAGCACTGCCAGTCTGCGCCAGACGCAGGGATGTTTCCATCCATCGTGCGTCGGTATAGTTCAACATACCAAATAGCAACACCTTCAGGGGCTTCAGGAGCTATAGTCCTTAATTCTGTGTAATTCTCTTAGGAGTTAAATTCCAGATGAGGTCATTGTAGCCATTTCCTTGTCAGATACTGGCATGATACGGCTTCCGTGTTAAAGCATTGCATACAGATTTGGAACCTGTAAGCAATGGACAGGATTTCTTAATGTGAACACACCCTCCACTTCAGACAGAACACAGAGCCTTGATTTCAGACCTTCAGTGTCAGCTTCATCTAGTACAAAAATATCAGACCCCCCTCCATGTCCATTGTTTCATTCGATCATGCACCCAACAAATACTGTTGGAAAATGCTTGCCAAGTTCCTGGAATTGGCTTAGGTGCTGGGGATACAGTTGTGCTCAAGGCCAGGCAAAAACGGTTTTCCCATGTGGAACACTGTCTCCAGCTCTTATATCTCTGAGTACGATTTCGTTTCAGTAAGTGCCATCTGTTGCAAACGGTCATTGGAAAAACTGTCATCACAAAAGGAGTTGTGAGCCAAGGGGCCAGTAGGTCAGGATCACTACATCATTGATGATAGTACCAATATTTTTACCTGTATTTGTCTTACATTCTTTTCCTCTGGAAATAGCTTTCTGAGGTTTGAAGAGAACTAGTGTTTCTACTCTCATGTCAGAACTGAGATTTTAAGAAAAAAGAGAGGTCAGATTCCTGTCCGAAGTTTGCCAGCAACCTGGATGTTGTTGGTCAGTTCCAGAATTCAGGTTTGTGGACCCAGAATCTTCTCTGCAGAGAGGATGGTGAGTGACATCACTGCTCATCACCCCGGTAGATCTGCCACCAGTGCTCTGTTTACTCCTCCCCCACGGACTTGCCCTCACTTGGATGGGGAGACTAACTTACCCCCATGAACATGCTGTCATTTTAAACTCTGGCTTCCTTAGGGCTCCTCTTACCTTGTGACCTGTGAGTCTTCTCCAAAAAGTAACGGTGTTGTGCACGCTGGGCTTTAGGATTTCATCCCAGCAACCTGTTAGTGCACTTCCTAGAGTGGGGACAAAAGAACCGATGGTGACAAGGAGGCCTGGTCCCTGAGCAGGTTGCACTGGACCGTACAAAAGTTTGGTAAATAGCCTCCTGCACAGCCCCCACCCCCAGGCCTTCATTTCTGTCTCACTCATCGGCACCAAAAAGAAGCACTGGGTTTAGAGTTTATTGTCTTTTTCTTTTACAGATAATATAACCCCAATAACAGAATTCTAAAGAAGGTAAAAATTCCTCTCATACTCCACCAACAAATCAAACTTTTTGGAGGAGTAATGATTGTTTCCTTTCTAGACCCCATGTGCATATATATGATTTATGGAGTTTTAATGATGGCTTGAATTTGAGAACTGCCCTCTAATTTATATTGTCTCTCTACTCTTCCAAAAGATTCATTGTTAATCTAAGAAGAGCACCGTGAACAGAGGGGCAGAGTTACGGAGCACGTTTTACCAGCCACTGAATCACTACCATTGCCGTTCTCAGCACAACACTCATTACTCTTCTGTCTGTTCAGTATGTGGTTATACAAATGGGCTTTCTTCAAACTGGTGTTTCTGACTTTGCAACCTCTGAGCAATGCAGGCCACGCAGGCCACGCAGGCCATATCCCAGATTCACCTAACCCTGCTCTACTCTGCAAAGAAAACTTGGGCTTTGACAGCTCCATGAATATGAAGGAGAAAGAGTGGACTCATTTTAGTTACTTTCTAATCCTGTTGACTTGCCAAAGAAAGCAGAAAGTAAATATCAGAAATCTTATCACCAAGCACAAATCCCAGTTTACACCTCAGTCAGGATGTCTCTCTGTAAATAAATCAGCAGCCTCCTCAGAAGCCTTCACCCAGCTTCTCGTCTCTATCAGTCTGAGTAAATAGAACTACCGTATTTTGCTATGTACAACGCGCATCACATTTTTGGTCCAAACTTTCAGGGAAAAGGACCTTTTGTTTTAAATTTTTAATATAATTATTTATTTACTTATATGTAGAAACAAAACCGATTATCATATTCCAGGGTATTATCTTGCATACGGATATCATTATTGCTTTCTAGAGTTACAGTCTTAAGCATAAGTAAAATAATTTAAAACATTAACATAGATATGGAATTAGCACCACCCATGTATCTTTATTTGCATCTTTACTTTTCCCTCAAAAATTTGGGCAAAATGTATGCATTATACACGGCAAAATACGGTAGTTACCAGAGCCCAGCTGACTTGTTAATCATAATCCACCTTATTCCCAGAAGTTCACACAAATTGTCGGTGGCATTTCTATGCCATTACCTTGACACTGACATAGAACTGTTCACTAGCTGATTTCTAACTAAGGAACCGTACAACATTTTAATAGAAAAACAATATCCTTGATTGTACTGTGGAGACGAAAGTGCCCACTGCAATTTTCTTAATTCGTACGATTACTTAAACTCAGAGCAAATGAATGAAGGCCATTGTCACAGTAAATAACATTGGTTAATAAAGTTACACAGGTTTCAGATGTACGATTCTATAATATATCATCTGTGTATTGTATTGTGTGCTCACCACCCCAAGTTAAGTCTCCTCCTGTCACCATTTCTCTCTCTTTACCCTCTTCTACCTCCCTCCAGCCCCTTTCCGTCTGGTAGTCACCATACTGTTATGTCTATGAAGTTTTTTCTTGTTTGTTTATGCTTAACCCCTTCACCTTTTCCACCTAGTCCCTCAATTCCCCACTCCCCCAATTGTCAATCTGTTCTCTATCTCAGTCTGTTTCTATTCAGAACATCCCTAATTTAAAGCACCTGAACCTTACAGATGAGCAGGTTACCCAAGGTCGTGACAAGGTTGCAGCAGCTTGGAAACCAGGATTCTGTCCCGGTGCCAACTGTGTAAGCCCGGGTGCGGAGTCCAGCTGCCTGCTCCTGGCCCTTGGTTCTTTCTGCTGCTTCTGGGCCTGGGCTCTGGGCCTGTTTCAGAATTTAGGCTTTGTGGGCTGTTCTGGGTTTTGAATGTTTCCGCCCTGTCAGACATTTATTAACCCCCGGGCTCGGCAAACGCACAAACACCGTCCCCCAGCATTGCTTATCAGCGCACTTTGCACCCGGCTCTTTTGCCGAGAACTGATTAGAGCAGAATTGTCCTGCGGCTCTTTTGCCGAGAACTGATTAGAGCAGAATTGTCCTGCGGGGACCGTGTAAGGCAAACGGTGAACACTGTGAGCACCAGCACCTGGGAGGGTTTGTGGTGGCCGTGAAGCCGCGAGGAGAGCCAGGAGACGGGGCAGAACAGGATCCAGAGATGCGTGCCCTGGTTCCCGAGGCCGCGATCTCTGAGGTGAAGCCTCACCTCCCAGGCCCACCGGCCGGCCTGCAGGCGGCTAACAGCAGGCCCACAGATTGGCACAGGGAAGGAGACATGACAAAGCACAGAGGGCCGCTTGCCAGGAGGGAGGAGAGCAGCGCCTTTGGGAGGACTGGTCCCCAGGGGGAGTCTGAGGCAGGGCTGCTGAGGGACACAGAGGTCAGTTCTGAGCTGGCCGCCTGATTCTCTTTTTTCCTCTTAAGATTTTGTTTTATTTTCAGCAAGAGGGGTAGGGAGGGAGAAAGAAAGGGAGAGAAACATCAACATGTGAGAGAAACAGGGATCAGTTGCCTCTTACACACCCCCAACCCAGGCCTGGCCCCCAACCCACGCGTGTGCCCTGATTGGGAATCTAACTGGCGACCTTTCGTTGCTTGGTCTGCTGAGCCGTACCACCCAGGGCTGGACTGGCTGCTGTCTCTGAGGTGGACCCTTAGAAGCAGGTTTGTCAGGTTTGCTGCTGTCTTACTCCGCTGCTGATGGATGACCACACACTGGGCGCTTAACCAACAAGCATTTCTGCAGGCCGGAAGTTCAAGATGCAGGGGCTGAGAGCTCTGCTGTCTGGCAAGGGTCTGCTTCCTGACCTGCAGACAGCCATGCCTGGAGGGTCTCCAGGGGCGGACCCTGAGACCAAGCTCTGTGTATCCTCCTGTATGGGCACTGGCCCCCTCCAGGGGGCTCCATCCAGCCTCATGACCTCCTCACCTCCCAGATGACACCTCCTAACACTGTCACATTGGAGGTTAGGCTTTCAGCATGTGAATTTGGGGAACACATTCAGTCCATACTGGGTGCTGTCCCAGGACGGGGTCTGGGTATCCCCAGTGATACCTAGAGATAGCACACAGGTCTGAGTGTCGTTGGGGAAAAGGCAGGTGTTAATCAGAGAAGCAGTCCTGGTGTTGCAGCTGCAGCTCGACCCTGCCTTCCTCTGAGCCTGTCCCCACACCTAGTCCACAGCCGCGCTGCCTGTTCCTCTTCCAGTACTTTCCTCACATTCTTACTGCCGCATTTTCCCTCTTGCAGAGTTAGAGTGCTGTCCCTCAGATTTCGGTACATTTGTTTGCAATTGTGGAAAGTGCCAGAGGTCGGGGGCTGGCTCTGTGACCCTGGCCTGCGGCCACCGGCCTCCGAGGGGTGAGCTGTCCCCAAAGGTTCACAGACATTGGTTTGTTTATTTAAAAATTTTAATTTGCTTATATGTGTGTTTGAATGGTGGTGATTAGGAAAAAGCCCTTTGGGCTTTCAGGGAAAATGGTGCAGAAGCTACACCTAGAAGTTACTGACGGAACTTCTAAGAGCTCCCACGCGTTATTAGGAGAGAAAGAGAGAGAAGGAATCCAACTCCCTCCCTAGTTTTGAAAGTGTGGGCCACATACTAAGACTGCCAGCTCTGAGGACAGGCCGAGTTTTACATGGAAAATTCTGGAGACGCCATGCAGGGAGGCGCTCCTGACCTTCAGTTCCGTGTGTTCTTCCAGGGGCAACCTTTAGTCTGAGACCCAGCAAGGCGAGTGGCTGACCGGGGTCCACAGGCAGGGACTGCCAGGCGCCACAGGGCACAAGAAGGTGTCGTGGTCTAGAGTGGAAGTTCAAGTGGTGTCAGCTCGCGCAGCCCCGGCGGGTGCTGCGCAGGGTCCCACACTTGCGGGGAGGAAAGGGCTGGCTAAGGTGATTTATTTGGGGGTCGGAAGAAACGCAGGAAGGAAATGACGGCAACATCGATAAAACTTCTTGGCAACGGGGTTCGTCCTTTGCGTCTCTATTTTCCTTCGTATCTTCCCTCTGTGCCTGGTGTTCTGGAACAAGTCCTTCGCTTGACCTTCCTGTTCACTGATTTACCCCGGAGCATCTGGTGAATTCTTTAACCTTAAAAACTACTTCTCTTTTGCAAGACCTTTTCTCAACACCCAGTCTAGATCGCTGTCTCCCTTTCGTGGTGTTGGCTTTCCTCAGATGTCTGCGGTTGTTGCTCAATCACCATTCTGGGCTCGGCAGTCCCTGATAGGCTGGCGTCCTGGTGCCCACACCACTGAGGGCAGTGTGGAAGGGGCACCTGCCTGAAGACAGGCCCTCCTGGGTTGCTGCCTGGCCCACGGCAAGGCACAAAGCACTCCTGGGGCAGAGTCTTCACCTGGATCTCATGGTGGTGGTGGGATCACCCGAGGCGTCTGAAAAGTGGAATTTTAGCTGTCTCTTCCTCATAACTGAGAAGTAAGCAGGCATCTATTCTGGGAACATCAAAGGAGAGCATAAAAAATATTCAGCATGACTTTTTTCCTTTTACAGAAGCCATCATGGGAAAAAGATGCTTTGTTTTGTCAAATATATAAAGAATTGATTTTTAAAATCACCTTGTAGATATGAGAGTAGGCTTCAGATAATCACATAGAATATCCTTTCCTCTTTCCACACTGATGCTTAAACTAGCAAGGAGAGGATTATCCAACTCTCTAGGTCTTACTCAAGGCTTTTGTAACATCAATCTTAAAATCAAAATCTCTGAACACTGATGAAATGCAATTTGTGATTATTAGCCTAAGTCCTATCAGTACCAAAAATCTCTGAATCCACATAAAATTGAAAAAAAATTTCAGGGTGAGGTCAGAATTTTTCAGCCTGCTTGTACCTCCTGAGCAGGGCTTCTTCAGGTCAAGGGCGTGCAGAGCCAGCCAAAGCTCAGATATGTTCTTGTAGAAAAGTGTCACATGAAGATGGTGTGCGAGGCTTGAACTAACAATACTGGATTATTATGTTTCCATTTTATATCCCTGTTCTTCCACTGGATTGTTTTCTTTTATAATATCCCCAGAGTTGTGGGCTTATATCGAGGACAGCCTATGACAGGATTAGATCTCACCAGGATTTTTTTTTTAAAAGAAACGCTTCTTTTCTTCTTTTCTTCCAACGACGGGAAATCCTATAAAATGAGACAAAATATATGAGGACATCGTTGCCAGGCTCTGTGCAAAAGCAGCACAGAGTACAGCCCCTGAGAGAAGGCAGACTCAGTCCCTCGGCTCTGCTCACTTCCGTCCTTCTTTTTCTTCGTTTGCTCCTCAGATTTCAAAGGGCGTGTCTTCATATTTGCTGATTCTTTCTTTTGTGTGCTCAGGTCTGATGCTGAGCTCCTCCAGTGAATGTTTCAAATCAGTTACTGTATCTTTCAGCTCCAGAATTCGTTTGCTCCTTTAAAAAAATAATTTCCGTCTCCTTGTTGCTATGCTTGTCTTATTCATATATTACTTGGCTGTTTTCCTTTAGCTTCTGTCCACGTTTTCCTTTGACTTTTTGAGCGTATTTGAGACAGTTCAAGTCTTTGTCTAGCAAGTTCAACGTCTGTGCTTCTTCAATGCCAGATTTTAGTTTGTTTGGTGTTTTATTTTGTTTTGTTTTGTTTTCATTTGAGTGGGCCACGTCTTTCTGTTTCTTTGTATACTTTGCAATTTTTCTGTTGAAAATTGGGCATTGGAGAAAGAAGGCATCTCTCCCAGGCTTTGCAGACTGGCGCTGGGCCAGGGGTTCACCTTTACCGACCAGCAGGGCACGTTCTGAGCCTTGGGCATCAGCCCGGCGCAGAAGCTTAAAGTCTTCTCAGGTCTTCTCTGGGCATGAGTCCCGCCTGGGCCTGTGTTTGCTTTTTAAACCCCCACCCCTGTTTATGTAGGTGCTTTTAAGTGTCTTGATTTCCCGAAGAATGTCCCCCCAGCTTCTTCTCGGGGTGTCTCCCCTGTACCTCCCACCCTAGCACCCACAGTTTCTGCAGCCTCCCTGCAGCCCTCACGCTCTGAGGTGCCCCCATAATGCACTCCAGAGCGTTCTCTGACCTGAGAGCTGAGCTGTGCCGTTTTTCCCCACCTGGAAACTAATACACCGATCTTGCTGGCATTTGGTTTTGGAATTTTTAGTCATAGGCAAGGATATCTGAGAAGGCTGTGGATAGGGTAGAGAAATTTAGGAGTCCTCTGCTCGGGGAAACCCAAATAATTGTTGGCAACTTAGGGTCATGCCTAAGTGAATAGTGACCAGAAGGCCAGGGGCCAACAAGTGACAGACTGTGGGGCTGAAGGGGACATCTGGAGTCAGCTGCACGCTGAGAAGTTCTGTGCTGCGATGTCAATCAAAGAGTGCTGCCTTGCCCTCTGGCTGCGTGTGTGACCTTGGTGTGTCCATAATTCTTGATTTATTTGTTTATGGCAGCCGTCCACGGCCTCTCTACCTCAACAGAGTTCACTGTGGAGGAAGAGCTGCTTTCTCTCACCTGGCGTAGGTGGTGGAATGCCTGGTTCCCAGCAGGCCGAGGCCATTATCCCTGAGCAGTACAGGGCAGAAGGCGCCACCCTTGTTCTAACCCAGATTTTGACCAGGACCTATGCCAGTCACGGAGCAGAGCTGGATGTGGGCGAGGGTAGTGGCAGCGGCTTGCCGGGCAAGGTCCTCTTGGGGCCTCATCCTGCTCTACATCACAGAACTTCGTTGGGAAGTGTCTGTAACCTATTTGAATTAATGTACAAATAGACACAAAATATTTTTAATTAATATTTACTTTTAAATTTTAGACAGTAACTGTGACATTAATGCTT